CTCTCCCTCTCCCTCCGCCATCTCTTTGCTCCATCCCCTCATATGCGCGCGCACACACGCACACACACAGCACGTCGCCGGTGACTACAAGGTCATCGACCACGAGTATGACGCCGTCGTCGTCGGTGCCGGTGGTGCCGGTCTCCGCGCTGCCTTCGGTCTGGCCGAGGGCGGTCACCGCGTTGCCTGCATCACCAAGCTCTTCCCCACCCGCTCGCACACTGTTGCCGCCCAGGTACGAACATCCCTCTCCCCTCCACCCTCCGCGCCCCCTCCCCCCCCCCCACTCCCGTGGGCCCTTTACTCATTCTCCCCCCCTCCCCCGTCACACACACACACACACACACATCCAGGGTGGTGTCAACGCCGCTCTCGGCAACATGACCGAGGATGACTGGCGCTGGCACATGTACGACACCGTCAAGGGGTCCGACTGGCTCGGTGACCAGGACGCCATCCACTACATGTGCAAGGAGGCCCCGAACACCGTGATCGAGCTCGAGCACTACGGTGTCCCCTTCTCCCGCACCCCGGAGGGCAAGATCTACCAGCGCGCTTTCGGCGGGCAGAGCCTCAACTTCGGCAAGGGGTCCCAGGCGTACCGCTGCTGCGCGGTGGCCGATCGCACCGGGCATGCCATCCTCCACACCCTCTACGGCCAGGCCGTCAAGCACAACACCAAGTTCTTCATCGAGTACTTCGCCCTGGACCTGATCATGGACGACTCCGGCGCCTGCATCGGTGTCATCGCCATGAACATGGAGGACGGCAGCCTGCACCGCTTCCGCGCCAACAACACCGTCCTGGCCACCGGTGGCTACGGGCGTGCCTACTTCTCCTGCACCTCGGCCCACACCTGCACCGGTGATGGTGGTGGTATGGTCACCCGCGCTGGCCTGCCCCTGCAGGACCAGGAGTTTGTCCAGTTCCACCCGACCGGTATCTACCGCGCCGGGTGCCTCATCACCGAGGGTTCCCGCGGTGAGGGTGGCTACCTGACCAACTCCCTGGGTGAGCGCTTCATGGAGCGCTATGCCCCCACCGCCAAGGATCTGGCCTCGCGCGATGTTGTCTCCCGCGCCATGACCATCGAGATCCGCGAGGGTCGCGGTGTCGGCCCCAACAAGGACCACATCCACCTGAACCTGCACCACCTGCCGAAGGAGCTGCTGGCCGAGCGCCTGCCGGGTATTTCCGAGACCGCGGCCATTTTCGCCGGTGTCGACGTCACCAAGGAGCCGATTCCCGTCCTGCCGACCGTGCACTACAACATGGGTGGCATTCCCACCAACTACCACGGCCAGGTGATCAACAACAAGGACGGCAAGGACACCGTCGTGCCCGGCCTCTATGCCGCCGGTGAGGCGGCCTGCGTGTCCGTGCACGGTGCCAACCGTCTGGGTGCCAACTCCCTGCTGGACATCGTGGTCTTCGGTCGTGCTTGTGCCCTGCACATTCGCGACAACCACAAGCCCGGCGAGGCGCTGTCTCCCCTGCCGGACACCGCCGGCGAGGCCTCCATCGCCAACCTGGACCACCTCCGCTTCAAGGAGGGCACCCTCTCGACCGCCGAGATCCGTGGCAACATGCAGCGCACCATGCAGCTGGATGCCGGTGTCTTCCGCACCCAGGAGACCCTGGCCGAGGGTTGCGAGCGCATGGACGAGATCAACACCACCCTCAAGGACGTCTACATCAAGGACAAGGGTGTCGTCTGGAACACCGACCTGATCGAGACCCTGGAGCTGCAGAACCTCATGCTCAACGCCGTGCAGACCATCTACGCCGCCCGCGAGCGCAAGGAGTCCCGCGGTGCCCACGCCCGCGAGGACTTCCCCGAGCGTGACGACGCCAACTGGATCAAGCACACTCTCTCCTACACTTGCCCCACCACCGGCAAGACCAAGATCTGGTACCGCGATGTCACCAAGACCACCCTCGACGAGGAGGAGTGCAAGCCCGTGCCCCCGGTCAAGCGTGTCTACTAAGCGGTCTGTCTGTGTGCCTGGGCGCAAATTCACTTCCCTCGCTGTGGTCCCCTAGTGTGCCTGGCGGCCCTTCTCTTCCCCCCCCCCCCTCCCCCCCGCATTCGGGACAAGGGGGTGGCCGAATGCCGGGGCGGGGCTGCTAAAGGCGGGGCGAGAGGGGAGCGAGGTGGGATGGTGTGTCGCGTGCAGGGGCCCGGCGCGGGTCCGCGCGCGCGCGCGCGTGTGTGTGTGTGTGTGTGTATGATGCGTGCATGTTCATGTGCGTGGCCAGGGGCCGGGGCGCCTTACCCCGCCGCCGCCGCCGCCGCCGCCACCACCACCACCACCAGGCCCCTATCGCCGCCTTTCCCCTCATATCGCCCCCCTCCCGCTCCCGCTCCCGCTCCCCTTCATCATTCCCCTCAAACGCCGAAGTCCCACCAGCGAGAGGAGACGGCGCAAGGGTTGTGCGCCTCTCCGTGTGTGCCCCTCCCTTCTCCCTCCCTCCTCTCCATGCGCGCGCGCGCGCGGCTTCCTCATTTCAGCTCGGCTGCGGCCTTCTCCTCCCCCCGTTACCTGCCTTCCCCTCCCCCCTTGTACCATCTGCGCTGTGGCACCACAAACAAGAAAAACTCCAAAGAATCCACACCATTTCCCCCGTGTGCAGGCACATGCGCACTGCGCCTGCGCGTCGCCCTCGCCGCCTCCTGGGCGGGGCCATTCCCGTGGGTCCTTTTGTTCGAGCAGCGACAAGCGGCCGACGCACAGACATCGGGGGCAGCAGGGCGGGCAGGCGCCAACGGCAGGGGTGGGGGGGGGTGCGGGGGGGGGGGGGGGGGGGGGGGGGGGGGGGGGGGGGCGAGCCCTGTGTGTGGCGTCGGGCGTGGGTAGGTGCGCGGGGGCATGGCGATGGGCCCATCACGTGTGCGCCCCAAGCCGAGGTGACTTGCTCGGCCGACAACACATCGACAGTGCAGCTCCCGGCGGTGGCGGCGACTAGCCACCGGAGGGGGGGCCCCCCGCCAACTCCCCCCCGATGGTCGGGTCTCGTTTGTCCGTCTCATCGCCCCCTGCTCTGGGGGAACGGGGAGGGCTGAGGCCGCGCGCGCGCCCCAAGCCTGTGGGTGCCTGGTGTCCGGTGGAGGGGGGGGGGGGACGGGGGACGGGGGGAGGCCACTGTCCTGAAGGACAGATCCTGGTCGGAGGGGCAATGGAGAGAGTGCCCCAGGTCTTCGGCCACCGGGCTGGGCGCGCGACCTTGGGGCTGGGGCCGCACCGAGACGTCCCGCATCCCACCTGCCTTCGCCTCTTCCGTCCCCCTCCCACCCCCCCCGCCCACCATGACCTCCCCCACCGTCCTCATCATCGGCTGCCAGGGCGCCCTTGGCAAGGCCTGCGTCGAGACCTTCCAGACCGCTGGCTACGTACGTCTCCCTTCCTCTTGTTCCTCCACGTCTCTCTCTCTCTCTCTCTCTCTCCCTCTCCCTCCCACTTCCTCCCACTCCCTCCCACTTCCTCCCACTTCCTCCCACTCCCTCCCACTTCCTCCCACTCCCTCCCTCCCTCCCTCCCTCCCCCCCTCTCTCTCTCCCATGCGGCCGTCCGGGCGCCCGGCCTCCGTGCTGGCCCCCGTGCCGGGGCTTCACCCGATCACTGACCCTGCCCGATTGCCCCTCTCCTTCGGTCCCCTGCCCACCGGTCGCATGCAGGACATCACCCAGGTCAGCCGCGCCGAGACGGCCTCCGTCGATGGCAAGCACATCATCGTGGCCTCGGCCGCCACCAACTCCGTGGAGGCCATGCTCGAGGCCATCCCGGCCGCCTTCCGCGAGAAGGACCTCTACGACGTGATCATCTGCCCGGCCGGCGGCTGGGTCGGCGGCTCGGTGGCTGACCCGGTGGCTTTCGCCAAGGGCGTCGATGCCTCTGTCAGCCAGAGCATCGTCAGCAGTGCCGTGGCCGCCGCCATCGCCGGCAGCAGCCTGAAGGCGTATGTGTGGCCCAGGCCTCCGCGCCGCGCTCCATCTCCCCCCGCTCCCCATCCGCCCGCCCGCTGGGCGATTGGGCTGGACTTGCACACTGACATCCTCCCTCACCGCCCCGGCCCGCCCTGCTCTGTGATTTCACCTGTTTGCTCCGCGCGCCTCCGGGACTCTCCTCCTCCTCCTCCTCCTCCTCCAGCAACGGTATCCTTGCCCTGGTGGGCTCTGCTGGTGCCCTTGGGCCGACTGCCGGTGCGTCCCTCCCCGCAGCATGTCCCCGGCCTACCCTTGCGACATCTGACGATCCCCCGCCCTCCCCTCCGCTCCCCACCGGCTCGTACGCAGGCTTCATGGGTTACGGTCTTGCCAAGGCCGCCGTCCACCACCTGGTGACTTCCCTCGGCCAGGCTGACTCTGGCATGCCTGCCGACTCCATTGCCGTGGGCTTCCTCCCGTACGTCTGGCCACCTGCATGCCTGCCGCTTCTTCCCTCCCTCCCTCCCTCTCCCCCCTCTCTCTCTCTCTCTCTCCCTCTCCCTCCCTCCCTGTTGCGTCGGTCGCTGACGCTCCCCCCTTCGCGTCCCCTTTGCCCCCACAGCAACACCCTCGACACCCCTAGCAACCGCAGCTGGGCCGCCGCCGACACCGACTTCTCCTCCTGGAACCCGATCACCGTCATCCCCGAGTGCGTGCTCCCCCCTCCCCCTCGCTTCATGCCCTCTCCCCCGTGGTGCCGCTCCGTCTGACTTTCGTGTCGCCCTTCCCCCCCCCCCCCCCCCGCCCCTCCACCGGACTCACCCAGGGCGGTTATCGCCTGGGCCAAGGGCACCGAGGAGCGCCCCGCCAGCGGCGCCATCTTCAACGTCAAGACCGTCGCCGGCAAGACCAGCTTCGTCAAGCTCTGAGCCACTTGGACTGGTGTGCCTCTGGCGCCCCCCCCCTCCCCCTCCCTGCGCGCTCTCACCTCGATGTACAATATACACCGTCCACATGCACACCATGCACCTCGTCTGTGCTGCCCCTCCCCCCCCATCCCCACCACTGCGGGCACTTGGCCATATTCTTGGAGAGGTGGATTGGCCGCACAGGATGGCACACTTCCGTGGCCCTCCCGCCCCTCCCCCCCCGTCGGCTCCATGTATATTGGCCCGGTCTAGAGGGCCAGCTTTTTGGCAACCTGTTCCCGGAGCTTCTGCGCAGGCTCCAGCTCCCAACCGGCCTGGCGGCCGCCAGAAAGCTCGGTCACCGCGATATACATGCCAGCCATGCGGAAGGAGGCGCGCAGCGCCTCGGCCGTCTACATTGCGGTCGTTCCATACGAGGGAGAGAGAGAGAGAGAGAAAGAAAGGGGGAGTGGCGGTGGGGTAAAGGTCAGCTCGGGAGGGGGGGGGGGAGGGTGGCATATACATGGGGACCGGGCGGGTGAAGGCCCAGGAGGCTCTCCGCCCTCTCCCCACCGCACGCGTGTGCACGATGGATGAAAGACGACCGACAACGTACGGCGTCGGTGTTCAGCTCGGAGGGCGTCGCCAGCACCTCGCGAAGGAGTTCCATCTCGGCCAGGAACACCAAAGACAAGGTGTAGTTGGAGTTGCGGATGTACTGCAACGGGCCGAGATCCAGGGCAGGGCTGCGATGTTCGGCCCCGGTCAGCGGCCGGACACCGTACGGCAGGGGGATGCACGTGCGCGCGTCGTAATCGTGGACCCGGTGCAGGGCGCGCAGGTACTTGGTCCCCTGGGCCACACGCCCGGCCAGCCAGCTGGGCGCCTGCTCCATCAGGCCGCCCTGCTCCTTCAAGGCACCCTCGATGATGTTGGCCACATAGAAGGAGAAGGCACCCACACGCCAGAGAAGGACCTCGGCCAGCTCGGCGCCCAGCAGGAGACGCAGGCCCAGGGCCAGACGGTGCTCGGCCTGCGCGTATTGGCGTTCGGCGTGAGCCCAGGCAGCGTCGCCATCGGCCTCGGGGCTGGCATCAGCCTTGGAGTCGCCACCGGCATCAGCCTTGGAGTTGGTGTTGGAGTCGGCACCGGCACCGGCACCGGCATCGGCATCGGCACCGGCATCGGCATCGGCACCGGCATCGGTATTGGATTCAACCTTGTCCTCGGTCGCGGCCCGGGTGCCAGCCTCGGCGTTGGCTCCGGTCCCAGTCCCGGTGTCGACTTCAGTCGCAGCCTTGGTGCCAGTCCCAGCGTCAGCCTTGGCCTCAGCCTCATCCTCGGCCGTCACCGCCAGGCTGAAAGCCTCGCACACCGCGATGCTGGTCCCGAGCAGATCAAACAGAGCCGGCGCCCGACGTGCGAAGAAGTCCAATCCCCGAGCAAGATCCTTCTCGATGGCGTCACCCCCGGCAAGTAGGAGCTCCTCCTCGGTGGGCCAGCTGTTCTTCACCAGACCGAGGAACCAGCGGGCCAACGGCGAGTCGGCAATGCCGCCAATCTCCACCAGGCTGCCGGCCTGCCGACGGAGCCACAGCTGCGGGGTCAAATCCGGCACCGGGGTCCGAGGCCGAGCCTTGCGTAGCAGAGCATGCACCGTGGTCGTGAGGCGCTTCTCCTCGGCAGTCAGATCGGTCAGGCGTTTTGGCAGCGTGGCCAGAGGCTTGCGCGAGGCTGGCACACGCAGGCCGCTGCAGATGTGCCGAGGGCGGGGGGTATTGTCCTCGGCGATGGCTGTGTCATCACCGCCAGCAGGGGCACTGGCAGCCGCAGCGGCGGGGGTCGCGTCGACGGGGGGGACAGGAGAGGGAGTCTCGCCATCAGCGGGACGGTCAGGATCAGACATCGCTAGGCTTTGTTGAGGGAGGGAGGGAGGGAGGGAGGGAGAGGGGAGGCGTGCGCGTGTATGTTTAAATGGCCGTGGTGATGGATGGGCAGAGAGAGAGAGAGAGAGAGAGAGGGAGGGGAGGAGGGGGGGAGGCAGCTAGATGACCGTGCGGCCCCCGCGGCGGGTCCTTGCCATGAGCAGCCCGCACTTGGGTGGCGTCCAGAGGGGCAGGGGCCCAAGATCGCACTCCTCCTTGGACCCCGGCCGTTGGTCAAGCCGCACACTGGCGGGGGATCTGAGCCGGGTGGGGGGGGGGCGAGGACCACAATGTGCGTGCGTGAAATGTGACCCACTCCCGCTGATCACGCGTCCATGTTGGAAGGATTATTTGCTCCAAGCCAATCCAACGTTGGTGGCATTCGGGCCGGCGATCGACCCGCCACCCGCCGAGGGTGCACACGGATGGCGGTCGAGAGATGGCTGGCAAGAGAGCACGGAGGCAGGCGTCTACCCCCCGTCCCCCTGGCGCACGAACTGGCCGAAGCGCGAGGTTGCTCCCTCACTCCCCCCTCGCCCTCTCGGTGGAGAAAAGGGCGCGTCCAAAGCCACCAGTGGCCAACCCAGGTGGGGGTCATCCCTTCTCTTCGCCCCCTCCCCCCCCCCCTCCCTCCGTCCCTCCCTTCCCTTCTCCACCCATTGATCAATGATCGGCCCCACGCTCTCGGGCTTGGTCGGCCATCCGATCAGCCCGGGGACCTGGGGGGCGCTGCTTCTGTCGGCGCTCTTCTTCGGGCATTATTTCTGGCTTCGGAAAACGGACCACCCCTTGATGCGGGCAGCTCGGGCTCGCCACTTGGCCTCGGCCCGGGCGCCCGGCCGCGGGCAGACCCTTCGAACGATGTCCCGGCAGCAGCGCCGACATCTGGACCGTCAGCGGCAGGAACTCCTGGCGCTGGGGCTGGTGTCGGCTGACGCCTCATACGAGCAACTCCTGTCGGCCAGCACGCGGCTCACCTCGCAGCGGGACGCGGCGATGGCGGCCCGTGCGCGCGGGGCCCCTCCCGCGCAGGCTGTGGCGCCGGGTGGCTTGGCCGGGCCGGACCGGGCGGCAGGCCCCCTGGGCGCCTTCGACCCAGCGGAGGATGTGGTGCTGCTCAGCGATGAGGACGACGAGGATGGCCTGGGGGACGAGGTCACCGATGGGGGCGTCCTCGAATCTGGCGACCGCGATGTCCGGGCAGACGCGGCGCGCCGCCGCGCTCGCGAGGAGCGAGCGCGGCGTCGAGCCCGCTTCCAAGACTCGGTGTACGATGCGTCGGTGGTCATCGCAGCCACCGGGCAGGACTCGATTGCTGTGGCCGACCGGGCCCGGTATTTGGCGCACATCCGGCGCCTGGTGGCCCAGGGCCAGGGTGTGATCCTGGTGGAAGCGGCCGCCGCTCAACTGGGTCTCGGGACTCCGGTCCTGGTGGACTTCCTGACTGAGTTGGCCCGATCAGCCGAGCTACCTGGGATCTTTGACAACCGCGGTCGGTGCGTGGGGTGTTTGTCCTTCTTGCTTTCCCTCCCTCCCTCCCTCTCTCTCTCTCTCTCTCCCTCTGTCTGCGTGTGTTCGTGTCTGTCTTCTTCCCCCCTTCCCCTCCTCGCCCTTTGCCTTTTTCGGACGCTGACATGACAACGCCTTTCCTTGCCCCGTGCCCGGCCGCTCACCCGCTCGCCCGACAGGTTCATTCACCTGCCTCCGGAGCTGCTGGGCGCTGTGCGCGACTCGATGGCCGCTCAGGGCCGGGTGTCCATCCAAGCGCTCCGGCAGGGCATCAGCCAGGCGGTGGCCCACGCGGCGGTGCCCCTGTCCCAAGCGCCCGAGTCGCCTGGCGCCGGGACACCGGATTCGGCGAGCCTCCAGGCCAGCCTCCTGCACGTTCTCCGCAACCAGCCTGCCCCTTCCTGAGACATCGGCCGTGCCCTCCTTCCCCGCACGAAATACATACCAAAGCCACCTACACCCGCACGCACGCACGCACGCACGCACGCACGCACGGGCGGATCAGGCAGGCCCTTCCGCCGCCCCCTCTCCCACCACGCTCTCCTCCTGCTTGAGATCCGGCTCCTTGATCTAGGTAGGCGCCTCCTGTTCCCCCTCCCCCCCCCCCCCCCTCCCCGTTCTGCCCAAAGAGCGTGGCACCTGTCTATCCTACAGTACATTATGTGCCCGTCTGCGCATGCGCACAAACACACACAAACACACACACACACAGACATGCATCTGCCCGTGTGTCTGTGTGAGTATCCGCATCTCGGCATGCTCACCATCCCTCGGTCCTTAAAAAAGGGCATAGACCCTCCCCCCAGCAACGGCAGCGGGAGCAGCTCGCACTCTGCACACCACATGGGATCTTCCCGGCGGGCTTTCCGATGGCATGCCGCGTTTCCGCGCGCGTCCCCCCCTCTCGGGGCCTCGGGGATATGCGCTCCGGTCGTCGTGCGGTACACGGTGCTCGGGATTGCACATTCACGCACGAACCGAACGCACCACCGGGCTGTCGATATCCGAAGCGGACTCCGACGCGTCATGGTACACCGACTCGGTGTCGGTTTCCTGGTCATCTTCCTCGTCAGAGTAGAAGCTATCCTGCGAGTGACCGCGGGCGGCGGCGGCGGCGGCGGCGGCGGCGGCCTGCTGGCGCGGGGGGTGGCGATGGTGGTGGTGCATGGCGGCCACCGCCGGGCGAGCCACATTAGCCGAGCCGCCAGCTCCCTGGCCGTACTCCACGTCGCTGTGGTCCTCATCCTCCTCCTCATCATGCTCATCATCATGCTCATCATTGCTGGCGCTGAAATCGCTCTCATGCCGGCGGCCATCCTCACCATGATGATGACCATGATGTTGGGAGTGGCTCATGCGCGTCGAGGGTGCCACCTTGAGGTGCCGGTGGTGCTGACGCTGGTGGGCCTCATGGAGATGGCCCCCATGGTCTTCCTCCTCCTCCTCCTCCTCCTCATTGTCATAGTCATCCTCCTCCTCGGGCTCGTCCGAGTACGACCCGTCGTCGTGGCTGTGATGGCCATCATCATGCGGGTGTCCGCCGGTGCGGCCGCGCGACGCGGCAGGAGCAGCGACCGATGTGCGCACGGCCGCAGCCCCGGCAGCCGAGGCCACATGCCCCGCGCCATGGGCGTACCGCCCGTGCTGCTGCTGCTGCTGCAGGTGGTGGTGGTGGCGGCTCGGGATCGTGCCGACCCGGGCGTTCTCCTCGTCGGAATACTCCTCATCCTCCTCCTCGTCCTCGTCCTCCTCCTCGTCGGAGTAGTAGCTGTCGTAGCTGTCGTAGCTGTCGTAGCCGTCGGAATGCTCGTCATGGTGACGGTGGCCATGGTGGTGGCTCTCGTTGTCATGGCCGTCCTCCTCCTCGTCGTCGTGGTCGTCCTCCGGCGAGTAGGAGGCCACCCCGCCCGGGGAAAGCGGCTGCACACCAACCGTCTCGTGGAACTGCCGTTGCTGCTGGTGGAGATCCGTCACGGCGGTCTCCTCGCGACTGAGCGACCGGGCAATGGCCTGGTGCTCCTCCGACAGGGCGGGGTGGTGGTGCGCGGCGGGGGGCTGCTGCCCGGCGGCCGGGGCGTCGCGGCGGGTGCCGGATCCGCCGGCCAGCGGGCCGCTGCTGATGCGCCTGTGCGCGACACGACCGGTCGCGGCGGCGGGTGCCCCGCACACGTGTGGGCACAGCATGGTCTGGCTGTCAGTGGCCGTCGGCGAAGTGTGTTGTTTGCGCCCGTATGGCGGCCCTCCCCCCTGGCACCCCCCATGCCATGTATCCTAGGCCGGGCGTCACCCCGCTCGCGGTGAGGGCCTCTCTCGGCCTGCTCCTGCGCGCCCCTTCTGGCTCCCTCCTCGCCGCGAGGTGTGCTGCCCGTCCCCGCTGCTGCATGGCCAGCCCTGTTTGGCGGGCTCGATGCGGGCAGCGGGACGCTCTCCCTCTCCCCCCGGGGACGCACCGGAATAGTCCCCGCATGCCGGACTTCTTCTTGTCGGCCTTCTTGGCGGCATCGGCCGCGGCGTCAGCGGCACCGGCCTGTTGGGACAGGGGACTGGGACCGGCCGAGCGGCGACGGGTGACCGAGCGCGCGCGCTCCACCGCCACCAGGCCCGGGCTGAGGGGCGGCGGCAGCGTGGCGGCGGTCTTGGCGCCGGACCCCGAGGCGTCGTCGGCATCCAGCGGCCGGGAGAAGGGCGACAGGGTCCCGAGAAGCCAGGGCGAGGGCGGGGTGGCCCCGGCGCCGGCCCCGGCGGCCGGAGTTAGAGTGGCGGGCCCGCGCCCGGCCCAGAAGCAGTCCGCGCACAAATCCGTGCCCGTGGTCTCGACTGCCTGGCCGGCCGACACGGTGCGGCTCTCGGGGGCCTTGTCGCCGGCAGCCCCGGGGCCGGTGGCCGCCGTGCCGCCACCGGGGGCCGCGGCCTGGTCGCCGGTGGACCGGCTCCTGCCCCCGCCAAAGCGCAAGCTCAACTTGCGCTTGGAATCGGTGGCCGGCCCGGCCGACGAGCCGGGCGCCGGCGAAGTGCCGTCGTGCGAAGCCCCGCGCGAGCTCGGCGGCGACAAGCTATGGGGCTTTGCCAGTTCATACAGAAGCCCCTGGATGGGGCTGGCACTGCAGGCGGCGCAGATGGTTCCCTCGTGGGTAACTACGAGCGATGTATATGTATGCATGTATGTGTGTGTGTGTGTGTTCGTGTGTGTGAATAGCTGCATGTGCGTCTCCAAGATGGGACCCAAATGTCGGCGAAAGTCCCTGCGCCCAGGAGAAGCAGAAGGTGGCCCCCCCCCCGCCCCCCTCTGCCCTGCGTGGCGCCCCGGTGCCCTTCCTCCCTCACGTCATCGCTCTCCATGCCGGAGCGGTGGCAGAAGGGGGGCGGTGCACCGCCACAGCCAGGCCGCCCGTCGTGTGTCGAGCACGCACCCCGCTCCGCCGCGTCAATGCGCTCCATCATGCGGAAGGCCCGCAGGATGGGCGGCAGCCCCGGCGGATCGGGCAGCTCCAGCTCGAACTCCTCGACCAAGTTGTCGGGCAGGTTCTTGTCGCGCTTGCGGCTCCGGCTCTTGGCCATCTTCCGGAGGTGCTCCACTCCGCCAATGATGTAGTCCGCCAGCTGGGTGGCCGACACCTCCTCCGGGTCGCCAGCGCGCCGGCCGAGGATGATGGACCCGCTCTGGTCGACGGCCGGCTGGTCGGCGGCGTTGGGATTGCCGGTGGCCGCCACCAAAAGAAGGCGCTGTGGGTGGGCGAGCCCGGACCGAAGCCGCGGCCCGGGAGAGCATGGCACGGTGGGAGAGAGGGGGGGGGGCATTAGCGTTTGGCAGCTCCTCGCAAGGCGGGCGCCGGTGTCCAGGGCCACGAACCTTCGCCTGGACTTTGGCCTGGCCCGGCATCAGCAGGCGATACCGGTAGTCCGGGTGCTCGATCAGCTGCGCGGCATTCGGCAGGCAGAGGGGGAGCGGATCGGAATCGGGAGCGTGGGCGAGGCCGGGACCAGGCAATGCGCGTGTCAGTGGGGGTGGCGCTCATGTGGACGGCACATTGTGAGGGGCACCCCTCGTCGGCGTACCTGATGCAGGGTTTCCAGCAGGAAGGTGATGTGGTCGACGGTGAGCATGCGCTTGCCCGTGGTGTCGAGCGTGTCGGCGACCACTGGATGTAGGCGTGGGCGCGTGCGAGTCCCCATGTGTGGTGAAGGAGGGAGGTGTCAATCATCCGGCCGCCGGGGGGGGGGGGGGTGTCGGCATTGTGTGTGCCTGTGTGCTCGGCCTGCCGTTTGCCTCCCCCGCCGCGTCTTGAGGGGGGGGGGGGGCGCACAGCCCCTGCCATCCGAGGCATGAACAAGGCCCATATATGCGTCTGTGTGTGCGTGTGTGTCTGCATGTACACGCACCTTCCAGCTTCTTGCGGAAGCGGATGCGACTCATGAAGGCCAGCGCGATCAGGCCGCTTCGCAGCTCGCAATGTTGCTGATACTCCCTGGGGCGAGTGGGTCCGGGGAAGCGGGGAAGCGGGGAAGCGGGGAAGCGGGGAAGGAGGAGGGGGCGGGGGGGTGTCCCGGTCAGTCACAGGGGCTTGCGCAAAGTCCCCCGCCCGGGGACCGGTCCTCGAGAGGCAAGACCCACGCACAGGTCCAGGAGGGAGAACACGCGATCGGTGACGCGCCCGGCCGCGGCATTCAGCTCGGTGTCCTTCTCGGAGACAGCGGCGTCGGTGACGCTCGCCGGGTCGGCCGGCGGGGTGGGCTTGGCGTAGGGGCTCTCCTGCAGGCCCTGGGCCACCCAGTCCCGGGCGGAGCGCATCGCCTGGCGGACCATCTTCTCGAGGTCACCCTTGCGCATGCGCGCGCCGGAGGTCTCCTTCCGGTAGGCGCGCGCGCTGCGCACCAGGCGATCGCCGTCAAGGAAGGAGACTGTGGCAGCAAGTGCGCGGCGGCACGGAGGTGGGCCGGGGCCGGGGTGGGAGGTGTGGCACGCGGCGGCGTGGGCATGGTCAGGTACCGGGGGGATGGTAATGGCGAGGGGGGGCGGGGGGCGGGCGCGGGCGTGGGCGAGGGCGCAGCAGTGTCCTCTTCGCACGCACAGCCATACTGACGCGAGTCGCGCAGGATGTACTTGGCAGTCCGGACAAAGGCCGGGGCCGGGGGGTTATCTGGCGTCGGAGGGGGCACGGCCGAGTCAGCATGATGTGTGTGTGTGTGTGTGTATGTGCGGCACTTTTGCCAGGGGCCGCAGGGCATCTGGGTGCGGGGGAACACCCGATGCCACTGCGCCGGGCCCGGGGGCATACCAAAAGACGAGTACCGCTCGAGCGGAATGCGCGGGTCAAACCAGGAGGTCGACTGGAGCGAGGAGCTGGATGTTGTGCCGGGCGGCCGGGCGGCCGGCCGCAGGGTGCGAGCGCCGGCCCACCGGGGCATTCGGCGATGGTCAGGCTCGGCTGGCAGGTCGGGTGTGGCCGCGGAATGTGACGGAGTCGATGGCGCCGCGGCGTGTGTGCGCACCTGCTGAAGTACCTCCGACCGGAGGGGTCCTTTTCCATGGTCCAGCCGCTGGAGAGGCCTTGGCGCGATGGCGGTTAGTCCATTGGCACGGGCTGAGGGGGCGCCCGCCCGCGTGGGAGTGCGCGCCGGCGCCGCGCGGCCCCGGCCCGCCCCGGTGCTGTGTTGGCAGCATCGAGTTGGACAGGGTGTGTGTGTGTGGGGGGGGGGGCGGGGGGGCGGGGAGAGAAGGGCGGGCATAGGGCCGTACCCGAGTGGAGGACTGGGGGTGCGGCGCCGAAGTCCGCCGGGTCGGCGAACTTCTGGCTTCCGGCGTGGCGCTGGGACTCCGGCGACCCGGTGGCCGATTGGCGTCCGTCCTCCGGGTCCTCGTTGTGCATGAAGGGCGAAGAGCCCTGGAACGTCGGCAGACCCGGGCGGTAGGGGAGCTGGTGCCGGGAGGAGGCGGCTGAGGAGGCCCCGGTGCCGCCGCCATAGACGGCATGCCCAGTGGCAGTGGACATGGCTGGGAGCACGCGCGCGCGCACGCGAGAGGGGGCGTAGCGGTGGGGAAGGAGCGGCGGCCGAGGCGCAGGGGGTCCTCGATGCTGGGTACTGGAGGTGGTCCGCGAGAGCAGGATGCCCGAGGGTGTGAGTGTGTGTGTGCGTGTGTGTGTGTGTGTGTGTGTGTGTGTGACGGCGAAGGGGAGAGGAGGGGAGGGGCAAGCGCGGTGTATCCAGAAGGTGTGGGGGGCACAAACACGGCAGGAGGAGGGAGAGGGGAGAGGGTGTGTGTGTGTGTGTGTGTGGCTGCTGGATGGTGGATGCCGAGGGCGCCTGGGTGCGCCCTTGCGCAAGGTGGGGGACATAAATGTGTGCCATCAGCTCCCGACAGAGTGCACGCCACCCGGGGCGTCCCCGGGGCGCCCGGGGGCTGGCCTCTCTGCCGTCCGCGAGCAGTCCCCTGGCCGTGGGACCGCGGCGAGGAGCCAACGAGCGCCCCCAAGCCCGTGCGTGAATCCCC